AGTTGTTTTATCATTTCATCCGACAAAGTTTTAAAGTGAATTCAAATGTCGGTGAGCTATTTTATTCTAATAGTGGATGGATAATGAGTAAGAATGCACATATTTTTATTTTTATTTTTAAATATCCACTGGACAAATAATAATAATAGAAATATCATATATGGTAAATTTAAATTTTATCTCAAAAAAGTATTTTCAGGAACACTAGTAAACAATAATACTTTTATTTTAGTATTTTCAAATATATGTGATGATTACACATTTGATGACACTAATATATCGATTAAATATTTAAATATTGAATGTATATGTAATTGGGTTAACACATGCATATTAGATATGTATAGTCTTATTATTTATGATGATTTTATATGGTGGTTTGACGGAGAACATGATGTTTTAAATAAATTATCATGAAATCATAATAGCCACATTGATCATGAACGTGGCTTATTTCCTCAACCTTTTGATTTGGGGGCTAGTTTTATAGCATGCAATGAGTTTTTGTATTAAATTTTTCCTTCAGATGAATGGCCTAAATTGCCTATATGTTTTAAGATGCGGACTGATGACAATGCAAGATTATTTTATATTTACCCAAATTGAAAATATTGGAAGGTATAATTTTTTTATTATACCTAAAAAAACTGGAGTATTATCTTGGGTACGAACATCTAGACATATTGGTAAAAATAATATTTTTATTGACATAGATAATAATGCAAAATGTTCCATATTTTATCGGGATGATGTTTTTCATTTTGCTTGTAATGGATTACGAAACATTTAAGATATTAAGAGATGTTTGTATTTTTAGGTTTATCAAATATATTACATTTTATTTGATTGTTGTAGATTTGGTCTATGCTATATGGCTTATATTATTTTATTTTTTTCTTTTCTAATTTTTTTGATAGTAATGTTGTATCATTGAATTGAATTATTGTTTCAACATATTAGGCTGGAGAGAAGGCTAAGGAAATTGATAGTTTAGAATTTAAACTTTGGTATTTGGGTAGGAGTCGTATTAGAAATGGTTTAGGTGTTATTATAGATAAGAGTTTAAAGGATAATGTTATAAAAATTAATATGATTGGAGATAGAATTATAGCTTTAAAAATTGTTATTGATGATAATATTGTTAATATTATAAGTGCTTATGCTTCTCAAGTAGGTTTGGATATGAGTTCTAAATTAAATTTTTGGAATGATTTAGAAGAATTAATACAAAAAATAACTCTTGAAGAAAGAGTTTTTATTGGAGGAGATTTAAATGAACATGTTGGTAGAGAGGTAGATGATTTTAAAAGCATTCATGGTGGCCATGGATTTGGATCGACGTATGAAAGTGGCAAGCCCATATTGAATTTTTGTTTAGCTTATGATTTTTTAATTACTAATACCTTATTTAAGAAAAGGAATGAGCATCTCATCACTTATAAAAATGGATATAGTACAACCCAGATTGACTATTTTCTTATTAGAAAATCAAATCGTTTAGAGTGCAAAGATTGTAAAGTTATTCCGAGTGAAAATTTATGTACCCAACATCGATTATTAGTTTTGGACTTTAAGATAAAGGGGCATAAAATAAAAAATAAAGTAAAACAATTTTCTAGGATTAAATGGGGGCATTTAAAGAATATTAACAAAAAATATTTTTGAAAATAAGATTTTAGATCTTAAGATTTTGTCTGTGCATAAGGATGCTAATGTTATGTGGGAAAAAGTGGCTAGTGATATTAAGAATATTGCAAAAGATGTCCTTGGAGTATCAAAGGGAAAAGCTCCTAATAGTAAAAATAGTTGGTGGTGGAATCCAAATGTGCAAGAAAAGATTAAAAATAAGAAGATTTGTTATAAAAATTGTTGTTCAGAGTGATGGTGAAATAGATGGGGATATTATCAGCATAATTCAAGTTGGATGGTTGAAGTGGAGGAATGCATTGGGCTTGTTATGTGATAGAAATGTACCCCTCAAACTTAAGGGAAAATTCTATAAGATGGTAGTGAGGCCTGCAATGCTTTATGGTGCCGAATGTTGGCCATTAAAAGAGAAGCATAATACTAAGTTAAGTTTGACAGAGATGAAAATGCTCAGGTGGTTGAGTGGCTTTACCCTTAGAGATAGGATACGAAATGAGCATATACGTGAAAAGGTTGGAGTAGCTCCATTAGAAGATAATTTTAGAGAAAGTCGCCTTAGATGGTTTTGGTCACATAAAACGGCGGCCTTGTGATGACCCGGTTAGGAGAGTAGAGGTATTAGATTTGACTTATGTTAAGAAAGGTAGGGGTAGACCTAAAAAGACTTGGTTAGAAAATATTAGGAATGACCTTTCTTTATTAGATTTAAACGAGAATTTGACATTTAATAGGACACAATGGAGAAAAAGAATTCATGTAGCCAACCCCACGTAGTGGGATAAAGGCTTGATGTTGTTGTTGTATTGTTTCAACATATTGAATGCTTCTTTTTTAAAAAAATGATAATTATATTGAGAAATCTGTGTTACTTATCTCCTCAAATATTTATCTAATATTAAAAAAAAAACATAAAAAACTCATCATAGTATTTATCAGTCAAAACTATATTTTTTAGATAAATAAACTATTAGCTGAAACACGAAGGTTTGATAGAGAATGTTTTTAACAAGCTCCATAAAGAGCATTTGCGACCACCTTCTGTCCATCTATTTTTTCTTAGAAAATGATAAACACCTCTAATATAAAGGCTAAGGTTTTATTTGGGGTAGTTTTTGTTGCTTTCTAAATCATTTTTTTAGTTCAAAAAATTTTGTACTAAAAAATTGTTTTGACAATCAAGAAGAAAGTTGTTTCAAACGAAGTCTAAAAGGCTATGGTTGAAGCGTTTATGGGAAGGTCCTTTATAGATCCTCACAACAGCCCGTCTTTCACCAACTCATTCAACTTACCATGATCAAGGAAGCAATTTCATACTCTTCTAATTCAGCAGTTAATCTATTATTTTTTAATGATCGTGAAGCATTTTTGTTATTCCACATCACCTTGTAAAACATTTAAATAATCATTTGGGATCTTTACACATAACTGATCTCATTTTATAAGATATTTACTGTTAATATTAATTTCTTAATTCAAGGTATATGAAATATCTAAGAAGAAGAGTTTTAAGCTAAATAAATTTAAACTATATAAATTTTAATAAAACAATAGCAAATTGTTGTTAAGAAATACTCCTAAACTCAAAAGAATACATTAGCATGCTTAATATAGTATACATTTGTCCACCTAACATGCAAGCCTCTTAGAGCCATACTTTTCAAGCAAAAGAATATCTATGTCACCTTCAACGTCATGTTGTGGATGAACACATTCACCGGAAGATCATTCTCACATTCCCTTCTAAAGAAAAGAATTGTTTGCCAAGTAGGACGTGCACGCTCTCTCGGTTGCCCTCCCCACCAAGCAATACTTTCCAAATAGTACACATATTTTCCTTTACCTCCCTTCATATAAAATGAACATGGATGACTCCAAAACCAACCGATATTTATCAACTCAACATTATTAATCTCAATCCAATCCATCATCTGCCAATCATACTTATAAAATATAAAGAAGTCGCAACTCATAATAGGGCAACTATCACACATAACTTCATTATCCTTCTCAAAGAAGTAACATTTTGAATGATTTGGAAACTTCCGTTTAGATAGAAAATTCCAACTGCAATTAGACAAGTCAAGCATGATATCCTTTACTGTCAATGCACATAACCTAATTCCCAATCACTAACGTGGAAGAGATTATAATGTTCTGAGGAGAATTACCAAGCTCAGGCACCTCCCAGGCACTATCATTGGGACGAATTACTCAAATGACAACACTTCTAGTGGGGATCTTGTAGCTAGTATAGATAACATGACACGGGTTACCACGAGTAAGACTAAAAGCAAAATGACCCTTTTCAAATGGTCCCGGCAAGTCGATTCTGCTCCCACTATGAGGGTTGAGAAGAAATAATGAGTTCTGATATTATTTCTAATATACTTCTTCTTCATGACACATCAACAACTACTCTCCTTTGTTGTACAAACATAAAGCATCTCAAAGGTGTGGGCTACTTATAGTGTGAAAAACCTTACTAGAAACATAGAGGATGCAACGATCTGGGTTGGAAAGGTCGGGAATACTAAACACAAGAGGTTTGTTTTCATTGGTAGGAGGGATGTCATGTGAAATAATTGAGTAACCTGGCAACAAGAAAGAAATTTATTAAGGGTTTGTTTGGTATGCAGAATTAGGAGGGTAAAATAATTCGATTATGTGCATTACTTAAATTAGGTCGTTTGGTTGATTTTGAGCGGAACATACGTAAATCCTCCGAAGCATCAGCGGTGTGTTACAGGAGAGCGTTCTTGCGACATCGAAACCCGCTCAAATTGAGCGGGCTACAAATTCTCTCGCATGAAATACTGCCTCACGCACGATGGTTTCACGAAATCGAAGCTTTCTCCCTCTCTTGAAGCCGAAGCCTTCTCTCCCAACTCCCTGAACTCACACGATCACAGGAGGCGAACCCCTCTTTCGTCGCCTCCGTTCACGACAACCGGGGATCTAACACCCCAAACCATTCGTCGCCCTTTCATGTTCGTGAACCAAACCATTACCTGTTCATCCCATAGCCATCCGCACATCGGAGCCGGACCTAATGCCGACTCCTCTTGCTCCCTTCACTTACCTGTTCGCCCTCCTCTGTACCAGGTATATCTTCTTACAACCAAAATACCATTGATAATGACCTAAAAAAGCTTTTGAATGTATCTAGTTTAATTCATTCGTTTTTCTCAAAATGCAATAACAATGAGTAGTTGATCTATATTTTTATATGTTTTTTGAATTTGCAAATTTTATTTTATGCTTTTGAATGTTCATTTCCTGTTCCATTTGATTTTTTCTCGTGATGCTTCTGTTATTGACACCACGCCTTCGTATCATGCAATTAAATGGTTCAGGTCCAGGTTTGGCTAAGGTGCTAGCTAATTGAAATGCCAAGTGAATCATAAATTGCTGCAGCGTCTTAATTTCTTGGCTATACTAAAATTGAAGCTTGATTTTAACCTGGGAGAGAGCTTGTTAGAATCGAGGAATAAGTTCGATGAATCTTAAAATTGAAGATGTTCAATAATTTCTTGGCTACTGCTGCAGCGTCTTAACTTCTTTAATGAGAACCAATACAGAATAGCTTGATTTTAACCTGGTATTAGATTCATTAGGCATATTTTTTAATTTATTGAACCTTTTTTAGCCCGTTTCTTGCAATTTTGTTCAGCACTTTAACCTTTTTAAATTTTTGGATGAACAATAGCCTTCTAAGTGGCATAGCTTCTTCAGTTTGCTTCTTTCATTTGATGCTTATACGTCTCGGTGTGATAGTGCAGGATTAAGTATGTACATGGATTTTGCATGTGCTTATTTGAATCGGTGTATTTTATGTGGTAATAAACTTGTTAATAGCATCTACCATATTTTATTTGGGCTCCTTGTGCTATCAACCATAGTTTCAGGGAGAAGACTTATTTATTATGTTTATACCCAAAGGATCAAATGGTTTTTTTTTATATATTTATCTTTAGTAATTGGATGAATCTTAAAATTGAAGTTGTTCATTACTTTCAAGTTGTTTCGTGGTAATTTGGTAACTATTTGATGGTATAATTATTGCTGCACACAAACCCCTTTCATGAATTATTATTGCTCATGAATCATTTTTTGCTTGAAGTTGAATTTTATAGTTACAAAGATGGTCGAGCCATTGGAAGATGTTGCTGAACTACATGAAATTAAAAAATATAGTGATGTCCTGAAAGTGATTTATATTGCAATTAGTATAGTATGTGTACTATTGCAGCAGATTCGCAAAGAAAAAAAATATGTGATGTGAAACTACATGTAATAACAAGAATTGCACTTAAGTTATTAATAAGAAGTTATAAACTTTGCTCTACTATCAATAACCTCTTGTTCACTCAATTCAAAGGTTTAAGATGATAACATGAGAGATTAAGCAATAAAAATATGCTACATTTGAGATTAGTAGAACATGCAAAATAACATCCAATGATTACTAAGTAAAGCAAATGGCAAAATTAACAAAAGCCACACATTTAAAATTTAGGTCATTCACCTTGGGATCTTTCTCTCAATCAATAGAAAGTGGGATTAGAGGAGGAGAATCGCAAGCATACTTAAGGATGCCACGATCAGACAGGTAATGCTGAGGGGACTAGCCGTTGAGGAGGAGGTCGAATTCGGGGAAGAGGGTGGACGCCCGTTGATGATCCACTCGTCTGCTGGAAGTTGCTCATCGAGGATGTCTACGAGATGGGGGAGGATCCGATTCAAGTAACCCTCGACGATGTCGTCAAAGCCGAACTCGACGTCAAAGAATGGTGAATAGACGACGTCGATATCTCCTTGAGAGTTGAACACAAATCCGTGATCAACTTTTGGATCCGCCATGTATTCTTGCCGGGAGATGAAGGAGTCCCAATGGAAAGAGGAGGGAGTGGAAGTGGCGGCTTGGAGGGAGGAGAGCGTTGGGCCGGCGTGAGGGCTTGGAGGGGGTCGGCTAGGATGGAAGACCCAAAGGTAATTGCATAAAATCTGAAATTGTTTCAGATTTTAGTGGTTTGTGAGGGATTTAATTTGAAAATTCAAATTAATCCAAAAGGGGAGAGGGGCGGTAATGGGAGAGGGATTTGTGGCTGATTTAGTGGGGAATTAGAATTAATTTGGGAGAGAGAAAGAGCTCATAAAGGGGCCGGCCAAAATAGAGAAGAGGGAGGGGAATATGTTTTAATTAGGTGGGGCTCACATGTTTAATTAAAAGATTTGAAGAAAATCTGCAGTAATTTCAGATTTAAACAAAATGGAAGTTTCCTAACTTAAGTGTAAGAAATTGGCAACTATTTGAATTTCAAATTGGAATTGAAATCCAATTCTGACGATTGCCTAAAATCTATGATTTATTTTAGGAAAGTTATCAACGCCTCTTGGAAAATTTGAATTTCAAATCTAAGATCCCAAGAGGGGGCCGGCTGGTAGAAGGTGGAGAGGGGAAAAATGGGGAAGGAGGCCGGCTGCCACGAAGGGGCTTTGAGTGGTGGTGGCCGGCGGCTTGGGCGGCCCAAGGAGGCCGGCAGTAAGGGGATTTTGGGGAGGGGAAAGATAAGGCCAGAAAAATGTGGGAAAATCCTGGAAAATTTCAAGGAAGCTCCAAACCTCATGCATCTCCTCCACTAGAACTCATAAAGAGATCAACAAGCACTACCTCTTCAAGAAACTCACAAAGAGATATTGAAAAGTTTAATAAACTCACAAATAGATCAAAAGAGAGAATTTCATTCATCAACATTAGCTCATACATTGCATGTGGCCTTTTATAAGTAGGTCAAGATAAAAATAAAACTAATATGACACAATTGCCCTCAGGGCTATATAAGTGACTCAATACTCTCAGGGGCAAACTAGGAAGAAATAAAAGTGCAAGCATAAATAAAAATACAATTAAATCAGAAATAAAGGCTCTGGATCGTAGCCGTCGATCTGCATCTCCGGCAATGGTATACGTGTCGAAATCTGATGTCCTGATCAATATGATCCTCAACGGAATATACAACGTGACACATATCTTTCTAGGTTATATAATGGGCGTGATTTTGACTGTGTTGACATGGTACGCATGAGGCGAGCACCTTTTTTGGAATTATGTGATTTAATGCGTACACGAGGATTGTTGTTAGACACACTGAATGTTAGAATCGAGGAACAAGTTGCTATGTTATTACATACACTCGGGCATAGTGTTCGTAACCGAGTCGTCCGATTTAACTTTCATCGCTCTGGTGAAATTGCTATTAGGTACTTCAAAGCTACATTACATGTTGTAGGGGAGTTACGCCATGAGTATATCAAGCCTCCACTTCCTGAAACTCCATATAAGATTAAATCAAGTTATATATTCATGCCATTTTTTAAGGTATAATCAATATTTATTCAATTAAATACTCTATTTTATTACGGTATCCTAAATATACTTTGTGTCAACTTTAGGATTGTATTGGTGCGATACATGGAACTCATATTAAAGCTAGGATTCCAAAGGAGAACGAAGCCGCATTTAGAGGAAGAAAACTATACCAAACACAAAATGTTTTAGCAGCAGTTGACTTTGATTTGAGGTTCACATACGTGCTTGCTAGTTGGGAAGGTTCTGCTCATGGCGCAGCAGTACTTAAAAATGTATTAGAAAGATCAGATGATTTACGTGTCCCAGCAGGAAAATATTATCTGGCTGATGGTGGCAACTCCACACGAAATGGTTTTATTTCCCCCATATCGTGCCACAAGATATCACTTGAAAGAGTTTAGTTCTATTCAACCCATAAATTTTAAGGAACTATTTAATCTACGACATTCCTCGTTACGCCCAACTGTTGAGCGTGCATTCGGTTCTTCGAAAAATCGTTTCACAATTATAAAATGTGAATCCTACTTTCCTCTACAAACTCAAGTTGAAATTGTGATTGTTGCATACTGCATAATTGGATAGTTACAGAAGGTGGCGATGAGTTCATTCAATTCGAGAATGAATGGGCTAGGAGAAGTCACAGTAGAAGAGGAGATCAAGCAGCTGTAGATGATTCTCGAGAATGGCTAGATAAAAGAGATGAAATTGCTCAATTCATGTGGACTCGCATGCAAAATAATGGATACTAAATTTGTTGATTTCCTTTTTATGAATATACATGTAACTTACTAATTTCTAGTTTGTGGTTTTTATTGATTATATTGGTTAAGGTTGAATCATTTGATTTTGCAGCTACCATGGTGATTATTGGGGGAAAAGTCTTTTGGCCTTCTTGGGTGTTTTGCTAGTGTCTTTTTATGTCTAAGCTGGCTTTTGTATCTTCCTATTGCTTGAGGGGCTGATCAGTCTGTGTCTTGTTCATGGACTTATATAATACCTTGATGAAGCAAACTTCTTATGTTTATATTCCCAAGTAAACGTCACGTAGATATCTCTAGAGGTTGATGGATTTTATGTTCCTCGTAGTGGTCTCATATTCCATTGCCTTAGGGAGCAGCATTGCTGCTGTTACCTTTTGGGACTGGCCATGATACAAAAAATTTATGTTAAAAGTATTGAAATGTTTTTATCCATAGTTATACGATCTTGCGTACAGATTTTTGCCATTTTTCTTTTGTTTGTTGTCTTGGATGGAATTTAATTGTTAATGCTTTTTTACATTCCTAAATTTGCTTGGAAACTTAAATCGAACAAGTTGCATTGCCAATCTTCTCTAAATCTGATGCCTCATATCCTTTTGTATCCAAAAATATTATCATATATTCATATGTATAATTATGTATTGTATTGGAATGTGAGAAGTTTTACAAAAATATGTAATAAATGAGCAGACATAGAATCTTCTGTATTCAATTTTACTTGACTATGACAAACAAAATGTTTCATTTTTAGAAATTAGAATTATCTGTTATGTTTGATTCTTCAGAATCTAAATCTCTTCATTTTTATTTCGATTAAATCATCATATGCATTGAATAGAAATTGTCTATCAAGAATTAACTTTACTTAGAATGATTCAACTTAAATTTTTGTTTGAGATTTTCAATCCTATTTGCAAATAGATCTATACTTCTTGTTGGATAAGCAACTCAACAAGACTAATCCAACGAGCCTAAGATCGCCGAATTTTAATTTTATTAAGTCATTCAAATGTCTAGTAACAGTCCAAAATTGAAGGGATCAATATCGACCATTAATTCAAACCATTACAAACGTATCATTGATCTCCCTCATAATTACTTATCATACCAATATAAAAAAACTATAAATAGACCACTCATTCTTCGTTGAAGGGGGAGAGGACAATAGGAGGAAGCAGGGGAGGAAGTACCGAAGAATAAGAAGAGAGGAGAGGAAGAGAAATATTAGATCTCTCTAATCACCAAGCTCCTCATCTACCACCTTCGGTTACCGAATGTTGTCAAACTACTAGCAGACTTACTCCCGTCTACTGATTATCGTCGTATTTTCGCCTGGCCATAAATTGAATTTTAATTTATTTTATTTCTTTAAATTTTAGAAATAAACTATTTTAAATTAATAGCTTCTTGTGATATTACAATTCAGAATATAGATAAGCTCAATTAGAATCAAAGACAATTTTAATTGATTTGAGTCGACTCATAATCTTCATTAGAGCTAAGAGTCTTGAGAGTGATTTGCTCAAACTCAATATTTATAACGCAAATCTTTTTAGCACTGTACTTTCATGATCAATAATTTATTGCATGATTTATATAAATAAATTTGATATTTTAATTAAAAAGTGCAACTCTAAATTATATTGTTTTTTAGAAAAATAATGCCACTCAAATTTAATTGGAATGAAATTTATAAATTTTTTAATTTATTTTAAGATAAGAATATCATAAACATTTATAAATTGCAATCATCTTAAAATAAAATTGAAATTATAAAATCTTTTTTAATAAAATTTAAGTTAAAATAACGTGATTCAAATTTATTTATATATAAGCTATGATTTTTTTTTGCAATATGAATACTAAATTTAGTCAAAATAATTGATTTAATCACTGATGTAAAAATATAATTTTTTATGATCTGTCATCATTTTCTTACATAAAAAAAAACTCCCATGAAAGTTTTATTTGAAATAATTTTTTTATTACTTATTAAAATAATTTTATAGTATAAAATTTTCTTGAACTTAAAAGAAGAAGTAAAAAACCTACTTCCTTCTACTTTTAAAAATTTTTTAATTAAAAAATAATTTTACAAAATAATAAAAATGTTTTCATCATAAATAATAAATTTTTATCGAATCGAAATGACGATTTAAATTTTCAATGGACATCAAGAATTTTCTCATTTTTTTCTTCGAAGAGGCGGGGGCTGGTAGAGAAAGAAATGGCGTATATTCGCGAGCTTCTTGCTCTTCTCAAGGCCGCCAACGAGGAGAGTAAATCAGCCCACAAGCAAGATGTCTCGCGTGCCGTGCGCGACCGCATCAACAGCCACATCTTGGATGTTCTCAAAACCGCCCGACGTATCCGCGAGCGCCTCGAAGCAATGGACCGCTCCAATGCCGCCAATCGCCGTCTCTCCGACTGCCGCGAGGGATCAGCCATCGATCGGACCCGAACTTTGGCGACCAATGGGCTCCGAAAGAAGCTCAGGGAGCTAATGACCGATTTTCAGACAATAAGGCAGAGGATGGTGGCTGATTACAGGGAGGAGGTGGAGCGCCGTTACTTCATTCTAACAGGGGAGGTACCGCCGGAGGAGGTCGTGGAGAAGATTATTTCCGAGGGGAAGAGCGAGGAGCTGCTAAAGACAACCATCTGTTCAAATGGGCGGGGCATGGTTACTGAGGCGTTAAGTGAGATCCAGGATAGGCACGATGCGGCTAAGGTTGTGGAAAAGAGTCTGCTTGAACTCCACCAGTTATTCTTGGACATGGCGGTGATAGTTGAGATACAGGGTGAGAAGATAGATGATATAGAACACCATGTCTCGAACGCCGCTCACTACATCAAGGGCGGGACCAAGGAGCTCAACCATGCTAAGATATACCAAAGGAGAAGCCGCAAATGGTTCTGCCTCGCAATTATTCTTCTTCTTGTTCTTGTGCTGCTCATTGTTATCCCAATCGCCACCAGCCTGAGCAATTCATGAGTACCTTACTCTTGCTTGGTTAATTGCGTAGCATTTTACTGAAATTCTGAGTACTATGATAGATGTTTTGTTTCTGCATTCTTTCGCTAACGGAATTAGTGTGGTTATTCTGCTTCTGCCTAAAACGATGTAGCAGATATGCGATTCCTAGCTGTTGTGATTCTCCCTAAACAATGTTCATTTTATGTTATTTGTGTTAGGTTGACGTGTCACTAAATTATATTGGTAATTTTATTTTTTGGTTGGGAGCTTTGTGACCTACTAAGAGGTTTTGAATTTGGAATATAATGTGAGTTTGCTTTAACATTAACTGAAAGATTAAAACATTAAATACTTAAATAGAGAGAAATTTAAGTATTTTTTGAGTAAATCCCTTCTAAATGGGAGCTCTTGATGGATGAAAATTTAAACTAGCCGTTGCTTAAATCAAAACTAATAAGATAAACATGAAGAACGGATTTATTTATTTTTTAAATCTCATTGGTTGCGTATTTGTCCGATGGAGTAGTAACTAGTCGTTACTATTGTGAACTTTTATTTGGTTCAGTGAACGTACGCTCCTCTACGTTCGGCCACCAATGTTTTAGCATGAAGAAAAGTCGCCGACCCGACCGCTGTTTTTTTGGGTTCTCGCACGTGCATTTTTTTAAATCCTTGACGAGCCGAACAACATCCCATCACCTTTTGGATATATTTCAAATACCTAGCAATACCGAGCAAATATCGAGTTGTACCTAGTTTTTTCTAGCAATACCGAGCAAATACCTAGCAATACCGAGCAAATACTGAGTTGTACCGAGTTTTTTCTAGCAATACCGAGCAAATACCTAACAATACCGAGCAAATCCCTAGCAATACTGAGCAAATTCTGAGCAAATACTGAGTTGTACCGAGTTGTACTGAGTTGTACCGAGTTTTTTCTAGCACTACCGAGCAAATACCTAGCAATACCGAGCAAATACCTAGCAATACCGAGCAAATCCCTAGCAATATTGAGCAAATCCTGAGCAAATACTGAGTTGTACCGAGTTGTACTGAGTTGCACCGACTTATTTCTAGCACTACCGAGCAAATACCTAGCAATATCGAGCAAATCCCTAGCAATACCGAGCAAATCCTGAGCAAATACCGAGTTGTAGAAAACTTGGTACAACTTGGTATTTGCATGGTTTTGGTCTTCACAGAGCTGTATTTCTCGTTTTTGCAAAGCAATACCTTACAATACCTAGCAAATACCGATCAATACCGAGAAAATCGTGAACATAGCATTCCCGGGTTCCGCTACAGGTCAAGTCGTCGGGCCGCGCGGTAAAGAGTAAGAGCACGTGACGACATGTTATTGGCGGCCGAAGGTAGCTCTACCTCCGATCAGAGGACATAATAATTGTTCTACTATTGTTGGCTTTTCAGAATTATTCTATTTTATTTTATTTAAATACCCTTTCTCTCTATTTTTTCTCCATTTATCTTCATATTTCTTCACGATTTGTCTCATTTCTTTTAAATCTTAATAATGCTTTATTGTTACTATTTTTTTATTATATCCCAAGACGAACCCAAGACCTCTTAGTTAAAAGCATAAGCTCTCAACCAACAGGCTAAGATGAGTTGTATGTTTGAGTAGCTCAAGACTTAGGCTAGTGCTGGCAACGATCATGATGGTGGTTGAGGACTGTGGAGCGGTAGGCGTAGCTTCGGAAGTGCTTAAAGAACCACCCACTGAGAATGAATGATCACAGGATAGTCGATGGGCTTTTACCACTCTGATATACCATGGTAGAATATTAAGCTAGCAGAAACTAAGTGGCTGTTTGGTGTTGTATTTGCGTCTGGATTTAAGCAGGATTTAAGATAAATTAAATCAAATAATTTTTGGAGGTTCATCTAAATCCGATGCTATATAATTCCGGTATTTACAAATTTATAGCATAAATCAGCGTAAATCTGCGTAAATTTAAATTACATTATTTGGTAGATTTATATATTTGGATTTAGCGCAAGAAACATGCGAAAGGGGAGAAATATCGTTACCTTCGGAGCCCTAGCCTCTCCGATTTGTGGTGTCCTCACTCAACTGGCTGTTTTCCTCCACCGATTACGTTTCTCCGGCCGCAATCCTGTGAGCTAGTTTTGAAGAAATGGCAACGAGGCAAAGCAACAGTAATGAAATGGTATGAATAAATGACGACAAGGAAAAGCAACAGTAACAAAGAAATGTTGAAGATGGAAAGAAAACCGTACACAGGCTAATTGGTAGGAGATGAGGAAAAACAAAACTAACTATTAGTATTATGAGTAATAGTATAATTAAATACTCTACTTTAGCTTAATAAAATAATTAATAGTATAATTAATAAAAAAAATAAATACAATATTTAATTAATATATTTAAAAATACAATTATAAATAATTAATTAGTAATAGAATATTTAAGTGATTAATTAGATAATTAATAATTAAAACTTCTTAAAATTTCATTAAATCATTAGTAAGAGAAAATAGCAAATAATTACTTATTTCAACTATTTAGCTCGAGTACTTTACAACTACTTTAATTATGAAGTTATTTCAATTATTTAGTTTTAGTAATTTACAACTACTTTATCAATTATTTTAAATCTCTAACAGCCTTAATCTTGAGATTTGTTGTCAAATAATTTTTTTGAATTTAATAGGATTTAATATTTGTCATAACAATATTTTTCAATATTTAATAGTCTTGAAATTTATTAAATTCTTATTTACAAAATTTACTAAGATTAAATCCAATCTAATACCAAACTGCCCTAAGTGAAACTAAGGCTTCGTTTAGAACTACTTTCTTTCTATTTTTTAAAGTAGTTTTTTAATATAAAAATTGTAATTCTTATAAAAAAGATTATTTTATAAAGCAGTAAGAAAGCCCTCACAAAGCCTAAATACAGAGTGCTAAGAAAAAACGATAATTCGTTAAGTGGAGCAATAAAGCACATTACTGTACATAGCTAAGAAAGCTGCAAAGAGGACAATGAGCTGGATGTCTGTATATCATGATAGGTTATCAGCTACCTCCCCTGTTTAGAATAAAATAAACGGCGTTCTACCTCCTCCCGGTAATCCGCCATCATCCTCTGCTTCTCTGAAAATCCATTATTTGCTCCTTCTTGCGGAGCAAAAAAGATCGGGTCCAACAAGACTGTTCCCTCGCTGCAGCCTCAGAGAGGGCGATTGGCCGCGTTAGAGCGTTTCCATGTTTTGCAGGCGTCCTCCGATGCGTCGGGTGGTCTTGTGAACCTCTAAGATGTGGCTATCAAGAAGCTCAAGGAGCTAATCATGAAGAACCTAGAGGCCGACGGTGAAGACAAAAACCAGCTTGAAATACAAATGAACAGACAGCAGTTGTTTGGAAAGACAGGTAATTTGTTATTTAAAATTTTAATTTTAAGTAATCAATAACTATATGTGTTCTTAATTCATTTGAGGCTTATAATGTTTGCATATTTGGGTCCATTTCATCGATCCGAGCACTCCGACGCTCAAGCCTCAAGAAAATGCTATTTTTGAGGGTTTAGAGGTGTGGTTTGGGTAGGTAGCATTAGTAAAGATGTGTAAATAACCCCTAAGATAGTTTGGGAGAGTTTGGAAGCGTGGGAAATTTGGTTGGTAGCGCTATGGCGTTGGAAGTGGGAGTGCTGCAGCTCACATTGTATGTGTAGCGGTCCCATTGTATGAAGCTCTAATATGCTAACTTTTTTTTTTGGACATTTAGGTCATTTAAGACAAACTCACACACACAACGCATACACATAGACTCGAGCCCTAAACCTCTTAGTTGGAAGCCTTAGCTCTCAAACAATAGGTCAAGGAGAGTTGTGTTAATATGCTAATTTCACTATTAAGCTAAAAAATTAATGTAAGCAAACAAATATATTATTTTCTAAATATTATTTGAATTTTGCATGCGAAACTTTTGCAGAAATTGGAATGATTTCGGTGGTTTTTTTAATTTTTAAATAATTCTTTTAATTTTAAAAAGTTTTCTATCAAAATTTTGAAATTCTTATTTTTTTTTAAATACTTAGCTTCAAATTTTGATTTCTATTGATTGGATGCAGAATTTCATTTCGAATTAAAAAGTGAATTGGGTTATATTTCTGTGAACTCGGTTTGTTAATTTATTTACACAAAACTAAATTCCATTATATTGCTCCTGCAAATTTCTGTTTTTATTATTAATTAGCTGAATCTAGTGGAGAAATCCGAATTTCAGCTGTTTTCTTTTTAGCTGGATTTTGTGCAGCAATCAAATGATAACATAAGATTAATCTATGTATTATAATATACAACTATCACATATTAATACATAGCTGATGCACACAAATACAAAACCAATACATAGCTAGTACACATTGTGTGTACTAACCAATACACAACTAATACACACAAATATACAATATGTATTAGCCACGTGTCATCATTTGATTGGAGTCTGAATGTAGCTCTACGTGCTGGATTCTACAGGCAATAATTTCACCTTGAGTTGTGCTTATTTTCTTAAGTTTCAGATGGATAACCCTGAAAGTGCTGAAGAAGTAGCCAATTTATTTGTGATGGTTAAAAGTAGAAGGCAAGCTTATGATGGGCGTCGAAATGCTATAACGCATCGTGTGTGATGTCTTTGCTATGGGCTTCAGTTGAACATATCAAACTCAATTTAATTCTTTAAATTTATTTACCCTTTGACCATTACCGAGTAATCATAGCCTGTGTCTATTAAGTATCATCTTGCAGCTAGCACTGGGTGGATATGAAGGCCGCTTATATGTTGAGATGGACTTCATTTACAAAGGTATTCTTTCAATTTTCTTAACTGTTCATGAATTGAAATCTCATAAGTTATCAAAATGCTTGTTTTTTTTTTTTTAAAGTGTCAATTTTGCTTACATTTATCTTCTTTAACTTGCTTCAAAGAAGTATGCTACTATGCTTAATTTAGAGAATTTTTGTCTTGTTAAATTTGTAAAGTTTTTTTGACATCTAGGAAGAGCGACAATTATATTTAGCTCATCAACTAATGAATAAAGCATTAAGCATTTGTGGAGCCACAATTCATCGATATGACAAACTAGATTAGAAACATTCGTTCAATTATCTTTTTTCTCAGGATAATAAAAACTTTTTGTTATATTCCTATCTTAATGTTACATATCCATTGCAAAAAATGGGACATATTACACTTGTATGCCCTTTAAGGAGCAATGTTAAAAAAACTTGGATTTGATGTCGAATCGAGAGCGCATAAAAAGAAATACTCCAGGTTGATTGCTTAGATTTCTCAATTCCAGTCCACCCATTTTCATCATAGTTCTCTACCATTAAGAAATAGATTTTCTATTATATTTTATTTTATTTTTCCGTTCATATATTTTATGAATGGTGTAGTCTAAATTTAAAGGATTGATGATGTAGAAATGTAGAAGCTCCAGAAGATGAAACATATTACACTTGGGTCTTCAAGGAGCAATTAATACCAAAAAAAACTTAGATTTGATGTCGAAATGAGAGAACATCAGAAGCAATACTTCACGTTTTTTTTTTTATTTTTTTATTTTTTTTTATTTTTTTTTTCAATACTCCAGGTTAATTGCTTAATTTCTCAATCCCAATCCCTCTTTCAAAATTTTTGCATTGGATTTATAGTTACCTTGCATTAAGTTAACAAATAAAAAAATTCATATGATTTAGGCTTTATGTAAGATTTTTTATTAAATGTGAAGAAAGAGGGACGGGCGAACACAATGACAGGTACAACCTAAGAATTTAGGATTGACGAAAGTAAAAAAGTAGATTTCAATTGTAGGCTTCAATACCAAAATTGATGGGAAGGGATAACTTGGAGAGATCATAACACAACATACACAAATTGAATATGAAGAGCATTTAGTTGGCATTAAAAATAATTAAGTTTCATTCATCAATGTTTCATCTGAATGTAGGAGTTTATTGTGGTTTATTATCTGTTTTTACGAATGAGATTATTTAAAATCTGCCTCTCGAAAAAAAATTGAACCCTAGTTTTTTTAAATGCTACCACACTTGTATATTTGAATATAAAAAATTTGCTCTCATCATAAAAATTTCAAAAATTGACAAATAAGTCGTAGCCAAATAGTTTTGTGATAGTTTGTAAATTTAAGTTGTGAAATTTTTTCCCCAAACACACTTGATGTGTCTAAAACATTGAATTTTAGTTGCAACTTAATCATTTATGCTTAATGCTTTTTGATATGCTGGATTTTTTTTTCATCGCATTCCATTCTTTCACATTACAGTTTTTTATTCATTAACTTTTTTTTTTTCTATTTAATCACCATTTCCCAATGCCACTGACTTTAACGGATTAGCAGATCCATCATTTGGAGATTATTCATCATTCTTCTTCCTTGTTTCTTACTTTTGATCTAACTATATATAATGTGTATTCAAAGAATAATTGAAATTTATATCCCTATTGATTACATATAAATTATTTATAACTATAAAAATATTGTATTTAATATTCATATAATGTTTAATATCATTGATATAGTATGTTCTAACTTAATTTTAAATTTTATTATATATTTTTTATTTTTAAAATTTTTATTAAAGTGTTTCATGAACATGTACATTTATACTAATTTTAGGCTTGGTTTGTTTTTTTGGTGCTTTTGTAAAAGACAGTTTTAAAAAACATTAGTTCAGAAAATAGAGTTTTCTAACAGAGAAGCATATATAAAAAGCTTTCTTAAAACTGTAGAAAAATGAAAAAAAGAGTTATTGGGTACGTGATTTGACGAACCAAAAAAAAAAAAAAAAAAAAAAAAAAATGTAATTGTATCTTTTTAATGGTATGAATTTTCTTGCATATTTTCTTATTTTGGTAAATGTATTAATTACATTCATATTAGTTATGTATTTAAAAATAGGGAGAATAATTAATTAATATAATCCATCAAATAGCAGCAGCGATTATAAGTTCCGTGCATAAATTTTGATCCAAATTTTGGCATCTATCCAATCGTGACCTATGATGGAGGTAATTAATCGGCCTCACTAAAATATTCTTTCCACTTTTAAGCTGCTGCTACTTATGATCACCAATTAGTTCAAGGAAATTATTATTTGACCAAATTAAGTAATTAATTTGTGACTAGAATCTCATAAAATTAATATAACCCCCTATTATCTGTTATAGAAAGTGATTAGAAGGCTTAAATTGTGAGTGCTCTCGTGAAGGCAATAGATAAAGTTATAAAATATTGAAAATGATAGGTGTCCAATAAAGATAGCATGAAAGTTGGCATCAAAGTTGCAGGTGGCTGATCAAAGATTCATTTGAGATAATTTTTTTATTATTTTCTATAACTTTAGCATAAAAATTTCTTTAAAATAGTAAAAAAGGCAGTTACCCAAAGTAACATTTGTTGTTGCGGTTAAAACAGTTGTGAAATTACCTAAAAAGTGCTGAGCTTTTTGGCTAATGAATTTAATGCAAAAATTATGAATTAAATTCATTAATATAAATAAATTAAAAGTATTGGAATTAATAAATACATCAATTAAGGATATTTGAATATAAATTTAAAGCAAAATTTATGTATTAAATGTCATTAACATAAATAAACTAAAAAATATAAATTAAAATAATAAATGATATAAATGGTTGGATTTATTTTTTATAAATAAAATGAAAGTCTAGGATTTCGTTTGGTAAGAAACTAAAGTTCTTTTATAGTAGAAGTATAGATGTACAGTAGGTTTATGATATTTGAGGTATTTACTATTTCATTTATTTTTGAGGTATTTAAATAGAATATCAATTAAGGATATTTGGATATAAATCTAATGCAAAATTTGTGTATTAAATGGCAATAATACAAATAAATTAAATATACGGTATTTAATAAATATATAAATTAAGGATAAATGCAATTGAACCTTAAAAATTAAATTACCAAAACTTTATGGATTTAATACATAAGTAAATTAAGAAAATTTAAATATAAGTTTAATGCAAATTTTATTTATTTAATATCATTAATATAAATAAATTATATATATTAGATTTAATAAATACATAATTTGAATATATATTTAATACAAAAATTATGCACTAAATGTCATTAATATAAATAAAGTAAAATATATAAATTAAATTAGGAGATTAGATGAATGATTTGTTAAGTTTTTGAAAGATGAGTAATATATTTAATTTTTATAAATATGAGCGTATAAGTTAGAAAATTTAAGAGTATATAAAATAGGGAATAAGATTTGCAGTTTCTTAGAAACGGAAAAAATAAATTTCTCCATTTATTTGAAATATCAAATGTTTTTTAGTTTAATTTTACCCTATTCCAAAGAAACCGAAATCCGAAATTCCGTTTTAAGCGGGATTTTAATTTCCGTTTTTAAGTGTTGTTAATTGTTTAAATAATTAATTACTAATATATGCTTCTTAATGTAATTTATTAAATTACGCAGATTCTCCCGAGAGAGAGAGAGAGTCATCTTTCCAGATCCCTATTCTTCTATATCTTGATTGTGGGCTAAGCTTTCAGAAACTTAGCGTAGTTCGCAGCCATGAAAAAGCTCCTGACAAAATCTTTCCTCAGTTATTCGATAGAACTGATAGAGGAGGAAATGGAGTCCATACGCAAGCTTAATGCTTTTCTCAAGGCCGCCAACGAGGAGAGTATATCAACCCAGCAAGATGTGGCGCGCGACCGCATCGACAGACACATCGTGGAGGTTGTCAAGACCTCCTTACGCTTCAGAGGGCGCCTCGAAGAAATGGACCGCCCCAGCGAGGCCAATCGCCGTCTCCCCGGCTGCAACGAGGGAACAGCCGCTGATCGGATCAGAACTTTCCTGAGAAATATGCTCTGCAGGAAGCTCAAGGAGCTAATGATGGATTTTCAGAGGGCAAGGCAGAGCATAATAGCGAGTTTCATGATGAAGGTACCTTCTAAAGAGGTTTTGAAGAAGATGTTTTCCGAAGAGATGAGCGAGGAGATACTGAGGACTGCCATCTATTCAAGTGGACAGGATAGGCACGATGCGGTAAAGTATGCGAAAAACAGTCTACTTGAATTCTACCAATTATTCTTGGACGCAGTGGTGCTAGTTGATTCACTGGGTGAGAAGATGAATGATAAAGAATATCATGGCTCGAACGCCGCTAACTATAACATCAAGGGCGGGACTAAGAAGCTCAACTCTTCTTAGATATGCCAAATTGAGCAGCCGCAAATGGTTCTGCATCGCCAGCATTCTTCTACTTGTCCTTGTGCAGCTCGTTGTTATTCCAATTACTACCAGCCTGAGCAAGTCATGAGTAGCTTGCTTTTTTTAATTTTCATCCTTTTGCTAATGCCTATTAAACTTCTCCCTTGTTCTGTTTTGCTGCTGTTTGAGTCCTTCTAGTTCTTTTTGAATCTCCTGTTTGGAGGTCCTTTTTTCATTGTTCTCTTTTATTTCCTGGTTTTTGGTGTTCTTCAGACCAACGCTATGTTTAGCTTTTTTTTTTTTCCCGGTTACTGTTAACCTTTTTTTCACTTGGTAATAGTCTTTTTCATATATGATATGGGCTAAGCCCCCAATTTCTCAAAAAAAAAAAAAAAAAAAAAAACTATTTTGTGTGGAAAAAAAAAACTATTCTGTGTGGAAGAGCGGAAACAAAATATTGTGCGGAGATCAAGTAAAACGCATCACGATCTCAGTATCGAGCCATAGTACCGAGCAGTACCGAGCCACGATATCGAGCACAAAAATGACCGTGGTGCATTATGGTTGGTCTATGAAAATGTTTGGAATATCCACAAAATAATTTTTTCAAAAAGATAGATATGTTGTTGTTCTTGCACTGTACGTGGATTGTCTTAGCTGTTTTTTTGTTCTTTATATCAGTTTTGTTTAATTGTAGCTTGTATGTTTTTTGTTCTTATTTTTCTAGAATTACTTACAATGGTAGATATGGCACTGTTAGTTGACTTAATTGGCCTAAATATTAAAAAAAAAGACTGTTTTAAAAATAATAAAAAAATAATCTCAAGAAAAATCTTTAGCTTCAATTTGGCCAGTTTTTAATTATTATTTTTCACTGATTTAAAACAAAACTATAAGAAATATTTATTTTAGAAAATAATAATAAAAACATTGTAAATAAAGTCTTAATAATTACGCAATTGTATCTTTTTAATGGCCCGGATTTGCTGGCATATTTTCGTATTTTGGTAAATGTTTTAATTTCATTCATATTAGTTATGTATTTAAAAATATAGGGGGAATAATTAATATAATTCATCAGGTAGCAGCAGCGATAAGTTCCGCACATAAATTTTGATCCAAACTTTGGAATCTATCCAATCGTGACCTATGATGGAGGTAATTAATCAGCCTGACTAAAATATTCTTTCCACTTTTAAGCAGCTGCTACTTATGATCACCATTTAGTTCAAGGAAATTATCATTTGACCAAATTAAGTAATTAATTTATGACTAGAATTTCATAAAATTAATATAACCTCCAATTCTCTGTTATTATAGAAAGTGATTAAAAGGCTTAAATTAGGAATGCTCTCATGAAGGCAATAGAGCATGTTATAAAATATTGAAAAATGATAGGTGTCCAACAAAGATAGCATGAAAGTTGGCATCAAAGTTGCTGGTGGCTGACCAAAGGTTCATTTGTGATAGTTTTTTTATTCTTGTCTACAACTTTTTACCACAAAAAGTTCTTAAAAGCATTAAAAAACACATTCACCAAATGTTATCCCAAATGAAGCCAAAGAAATCAGTGATGGTCAATGATCAAGAAAATCATTTGGGTGATTAAAACTATATTTTTTCTTTTCTAGCCCCATACATCTCTTATCTAGCATATTTTTCAAATGCGTAGGAATAAAACCCATATTTCACTAGAAAAATAAGAACTTAGTGGCCTAGAACAAGTCCCTCTATTTATTTATAGCCCTTGTTGGAACCTACGAGGAAAATAAATGATGAAAATTTTTTAATTCTATTTTTATCCCATCTGCCAACTAAATGAACAAGCAAGTAAGGGGAAGGAGAGATAGAGAGAGTTATATAAGGCGAGGCAATATCAATGATAGAGGAAGAGAGAGAGAGGAGGTGCAATTGAACAAGTATGGTAGACCGTGTGATATGACTTTGAATTCAATCCGAGCATTTAGAATTTTAAGAACGAAGAGAAGGACATTAGCAAGGAAACTATTTGTGCAGGTATGTCCATCCATGATTTGGTTATATTTATAATTTTTAAAATGTCTCATAATCACAATTTCATCAGTCAATTTTATTAAACTATATATGAGAATTGGTTACAATAACCTTAACAAAAAGTACATCCTCTTGTATGAGCCATTTGTTCATACACTTTACTAGCTTGCAATCCTTGCTCTTGTTATCGATTTATTATATTGCGTCCTTTAAAATTCAAGGCGATAGAGAGTTATTGGCACTAATAAAATGTGTGAAAAGCCCGAGTTATGTAATATGAAAATAGTCTTATAAGGTGTTAAACATTATGCTCTAACAAAAGCTCTCAAAGGAACTCATTTGATGCTTAAACCATTTGAGAAAGTGTATAAAAGACTACATGCAATATAGGATTACAAGCATGTAACATTATCAATCTTATTCCTTGAAGTTAAAAATGTTGTTAAATATAACTAAATATGACAACCATGATCATTGTACTCCTCATTTATCAATCTTTTAAATTTGCTTAGAGATTCAAAAAACAGATGAAAGAAAAATAAAATAAAATATACCAATGAATTGTGATTTCAGGAATGCTTAATGCTTTCTTCATTAGTTGATGAGCTAAATAAAGCACTCGCCCTCCCTAAATGTCAAAAAAAAAAAAAAACAAATTTAACAAGACATAAAAATTCTCAAAATTAATTATAGCGGCATACTGCTTTAATAACAAGCTAAAAAAGATAAATGCAAGTTAAAATGGCATTTAAGAAAACACAAGCATTCTGAGAATTTTTGAGGTTTCAATACATGCAACACTTAAAAAAGTTGAAGAATACCTATGTAAATGAAGTTCATCTCTACAAATATGCTTCCATCATATCCACCAAATGCTGCAAGATGATACTTAATAGATACAGACTATGATTACTTGGCAAAGAAAATAAAATAAGAAGTAAAAATTAAGGGCTGCAAAGTTGGATTAATTATTATGTGTGGACATCAAATGTTGCCCGAATACTATATAAAATGTGTCACATCACCCCTTTGTTTGGTGTCGAGGCTTGGTACTATTGACATGGCGCATAATGGTTGGTCTCCAAACAATATTTTGCTTATAGTCTCTGCACCTCGTAAAGTTGATGAGAAAAATTACAAAAGGAAAGTAACCGGCTAAAAACAGGTGTAACACTAAAAAAGGCTTAAGTCAATTTTCAGCTTAAATTAAGCTTAAAAGATTAAAAAAAATAAAGGATATTTAAATAATTAAATTTTATAATTTTATATTAAATTAAAGTATCATTTAATCCTTAATAAATCGAAGATTTATATGTTTAATGTTATGAATAACTCAAGCGACTTTTATAACAATACTATTGATATATCATCAAAAAATTATCTTGATCGGTCACAAATCTCGAGGCAAAATCAGGTTGAAAATTTAAAAAATTAAATTCGGGATCACCTGAACTCCGATTTCAGCAAACTTATAATCAAACTGAGCATCTCGGAAATACGAACCCAACGACACCAAATTCGACTCAATCCGATCCCAAATGAGCCCAAATCAAGGACCTGAAGCGCTGTTGGAAGCTTTGTACCACTGTTTGAGTTACTAAACAATTTTCAAATATGACGAGCTTCTAGTCAAATCAAGCGGCTCGATGAGACAAATCCAACAAGCCCAAGATCACTGAAATCCGAAATCATTAAGGCCTCCAAATGCCTGACGAACGATCCATGATCAAGGGATTCACTACAGGAAATTCAGCCATCACTGGCGTCTTCGACCAGCGGTTGTTTAGCTGCTGGTACTAACAGCGGTTCATCCGGCGGTTTGGCCACCGGTGAATATCGGCGGGCCAACCGGCCGTTATGGAAGCTTATGCCGTCGGTAATAGCGGCAATTACAAAACCGCCAGCTTTAAAAGTTATCGGCGCTATACCGGCGGTGAAAACCGCCGGTGTTAAGTGATTTACGTACCGGCGGTTTGAGCCGCCGGAACACCGACGATAAAAGTCCTAAAATAAACCACCCCGAGCCTCACATTTCATTTCATCTCCTCAATTCTCTTTCTCTTTGGTTACGCTCTTTCCTCTCCTCCGCACGCCTTATCGCGCAACCGAGCTATCTTCGGCCACCGACGAGGTCTCTCCGGTCGCTGAAGATCACACCGTCCGCCCACGAACTCCCCACTTCAATGAGGTTTGTCTCCGATGTTGAACTTGTAGTGTTTTTCGCCATCAGTTACCTCTACTCACCGCCTCCAGTAAGAGTAGGTTTATCTGCCTCCGATAATTGAAGGTATCTTGGTGTATGTTTTTTGCTTTTATTATGTATGTTCTCAGTAGACATTTGTAAGAGAATGAACCTTGGTGTATATGCTTTTGCTTTTGTTATGGATGTTCTCACTATACATTGTTAAGAGAATGTATTTTGGTGTATGCTTTTTGCTTTTGTTATGGAAATTCTCACTAGACATTTACATTAGAAGGTATCTTGGTGTATACTTTTTGCTTTTGTTATAGATGTTCTCATTAGACATTTGCAAGAGATGGTATCTAAATGTTTTCTTTTTTTGCTTTTGTTATGGATGTTCTCACTAGACATTTGCAAGTGCATACACCTCTAACATTTGTACCACCACCCTTGTCTGGCTACTTCCCTTCTCCCTCAACGAGTCCTCACTTTTCCTCTCCATATTAGACACATGCAGCTCCATTATATTCATATTACCCACCACCATCATCACAGATAGCAGGTCCATCCACTGGTTTTTACCCTGCTTACCCTCCTTACACCACCCATATTATTTTACCCATATTTGGGGCAACCAAAACAAGGTGGACCATCTAGACAAGTAGAGGTTGGTGCCGGGGATCAAGCAGCTGCAACATATAAGCATCAATACATTGAGTCTGAGGGTGATAAGTAAGTTCTGTTTATGTTATTAAATTTATTAAATTTTGATATATTATATTTTATTGCTAAAAAAAATAACCTACAGCTTCAATCCTTCAAGGTCATCTACTCACAAGATTTGTGATATTATAAAAAACAAATATGATGCTCCTTACTTATCATGGAAGAAGATCCCAAAGGAGATTAGAGATATGTTGTTTGAAGAATTTCAGGTATACTTAATTTGATATAAATTCAAATATTGATTTACTTTGTCTTAATATTTTTTGTTATGCCTAAATTTTTACATAAAGAATTTAGGTGGTTGCTTGAGCATAGCACGATGATCAAAACTAATTTTGAGAGAAGACAAGCGACCCATCTTAGGGACATGTTCACGGACATTAAAAAGTCCGGGCAGCGTCCACTATAGATTGGAGAGGGCGTATGGGCTGATCTGATTAGA